TTAACATCCTCCTGAGACTTATCCCCTCCTTAAGCAACTGGGAAAGGTAGGGTTTTACAGCGACCCCCGATTGGGCAGGTCCTTCACCTTGTAGATGCGAACCAGCCAATGCTCGGTCGTGTAGGCCTCTTCCAACACATCCAGCTCGAAGTCTTTGTTGCCGATTTCCGCACCTAAGCACGCATTTTAGCCATCAGAACTCCCAAACTACTTTCAAAGATAAACGCTGCAATGAGAAATCTACTTGCCTCTAACTCGGTCCCAGCCGGGCGGCTTGCCGCCCTCAGTGTGCACCTTGCCAAAGCGATAGTAGCACATCTTGTACATGAGGCAATTGAGGAGGGCTGGCGCGCCTTCTTTGTCCACTCGGAACTCGCCAGTAGGCGAGTAGTAGTCCGACTCGTGGATGTGCTTTCCCTTCTCCGTGCTTCCTCCTGCAAGACGATGCTTATGACTCACTCACTCCCTCACCGTTGGCTGCTTACCAATGCGCACCATCCACAGAAACTTGTTGATGTCGTCCGAGGAGTAGCCGGTAAGTCCGCCAAAGATCACTAGCACATAGTCCACGTCGAGCTCGCGCATGATTTCCAGCGCCTTTTCTTCGCCACTGGCCATCGCTTGTCCCACCCGACTGATGTGCGTGTTGTTCCACGTGTTGTTATCAACCAGCACGGTCCGGTTGGCCATTGCAGTTATCTGGTAGCCGTAGTCCCACCAAGACATGATGCGAGCATCCTCTGGCGTGTTGCTCTTCAACCAGCCGTAGGCCTGCGCAACCCGAAAATATCACCATGTTGGGCGCTCTCCACATCCTCCAATTACCTCTCTAAAGTCGTCGAAGATGATCCGAGAGCCGTCATGGGCGCGGGCGCTCAAAACAATGGAAGGAGAGCTGTAGGCTTCGCTTGTCACCCAAGTGCAGTGCATTGTGTAGACGCTGAGGATGGCAATGGAAAGGGCGGCAAAAGCTGCTCCTCCCGCGTTCTTGGTCTCGCTCTGATTGGCGCCCTGAAACCGGCAACAGTGAAAATGGGCGCAAATTTCACAACCCCTCCGCCTTGATTTGTACCTTTTGACGCCTCTGGGTGGTGGGCGCTGGGTTGAAGAATCTCCCTAAAAGGCGGCTGAGACCGGCTCCCGATAGGGCGCACGCCGCTGGCGCCAGCACCAGCATCAGACGCACCTGAAGTCCCACGATCAAAATCAGCCGTCCATTCCTCAAAAGGAAAACAACGAAAACTTACCATCACTCCGGCAAAGTAGACAGCAGTCGCCCCATACAGAGCAAGGAAGAACTTGGAGTCACTGGGGTCCTTAAAGCAGAGATAGAGACCGGCAGGCAGCAGCATGGTAAGTACGTGCAGGTCGAAGAAAAACGAAGACCACGCAGTGGGCTGATGCTCGGAAACCGAGGCGATGATGGGAATGTGGTTCTGAAAGCACCTAAAATTAGCCCCCTGGCTGCAATTTGCCTAGCATTCACCTTGGCGTAGGAGGGATCCAGAAGGGCGTAGAAACGCCCCGTCCAAGGGGCCACTTTCCCGCTGAACGACAACAGGATCAACCCCAAGGCGAATAAAGCGCCCAAAGTACTAAGGGCGAACGTCCACAGCGCCCGAAAATCCGCAGGACTCAGCTTGCTCTTCAAGTAGTCCACAAAAGCCAGTATTTGGCAGAGCCCAAACACTCCCAGCGCCTAAATCAATTAGCTCTTACCACTGATCCTTCGGACCTTCCGGGAATTTGTCTTACCAGCATGTGTTCAGAGCTCTGCACTGGCTGGAAACCCACAAAGGCCACCTGCATGGACAGAATGGTCCCCACACAGTACAAAGTGCTGTATGCGACGTAGATTCGATGGGAAAACCGGCCAGTCACTATCAGGGTGAGCACATGAAGCGGAATCAGGTTGATTAGAAACACGTAGCCGCCCCAGGAGGACACCTATGGAGCAGTAGCAGATTCAAATGCGCAAAAAACACCCGCTTTTTACCATGTAGAAGTAAGCTAGAGCTGTCAAGGTGCCCCATCTCACTGTGCCGGTCTTCACAGCCTTGATCCAGGTGTAGTAAGTGAGCAGCATGCAGAAAATCGCTATGCCCTCATTATCATAGCTGCCGGCCACTGAGCGGCTGATGTAACCGGGAACTATTGCCACAAAGGCTGCGGCCATCAGGCCGGCTCCTTTATCAAAAATCTACCAAAGAAAAATGTAATTAAACCCGATTTTTATGGCTTGCAAGCAAGCACCTCTTTAGTGAGCATGTAGGTGATCAGGGTGGTGAACGAGGAGAACAGGGGCGCCAAAAAAACGCACACATTCCTGATGTCTATGTCGATGTGCAGGAACTGCGCCACTCTGAACAGGAACACCGAAGTTAACATCAGGCCTGGATAAATAGTCCCACCGATAATTCTCCCCAAGGGGTACCTGTAAAGCGCTGAATGAGCCTCAACTTTGACCTAAACCCGCCCATTTACCAAGCCCTATCATCGAACCAGTTGTGGAAGTCATAGAACCCGTTCTCTGACAAATACTTCGTGGTTCTATAGTTGAAATACGGATCAAATTCGTGAATCACTGATTCGAAGCGGAGCACTGAAAATAGTCTGGTAGCGAACGCTGAAATAAACCGCTTGTTAGAAACACTTTAAGAAGCTTATAAAAGCCGAGCTTTCAGATCTGGCAGCGACTTACACAGCACAGCAGCCAGGGATAGAATGGAAATGGTCAGCAGAGTTTCCTGCTTCTTGCCCTGGGCCCCTTTTTTGTCCAATAGCCACATTCTAACGCCCCCACACACACAGAGAGGTTAAATTGCAAGTTGCGAGTAAATAATAGCCGATAGGAAACGGTTTCTTGTGGAAATTCGCGCTTTGGTTTGCGGGATTTTAGATTATCATGCCAATGGGCTCTAGAGTGTGCCAAAATTAGAAAAAAAACATAATTTTCTTATCGACGTAGACAAAATCGACCGGCTAAACATCAACTGACAGTTTGTTTGATAACAGTTTGACTTTTAGTCGCAATGCAAGGGCGGCGTTGTCTGATGTACTGTTGGCCTGGTTTTGGGCAGTGTTGCATCTTTAAGGCGTGGCCTTAAACAAAATATTTATTTTCTTTATTCTGCATTTATTTATTCAAATTTTGAATTTCGGCCGTTCAGAACGCTTAGTGAAAAAAATTCTAGCTCTGTTTCTAAGGAAGTCAACTAGGAACGGTGCCTAAATAGAGACCATTTAATTAAAAAATTCACAGTTAACTAATCCCACGCATGAAGTATTCGGGCGTCCCATCGAAATGAAGCAATAAACCGATCATAATCGCTAATGATAAGAATTCCTTTCACCTCATATCACTGTAATCGTGATAGGGGGATGATTTAGGGCGGCAATTACAAAATGAATCAGCTAATGATTGCAAGGGCACGGCCGCAAGGGCGTTAATCTGATTTAAAAAAAAGGGGCCTCACCGCGTGCTCCGACGTTTCAAAATGCACCTTTTCAAGCGTCTTTGGACTATGCGGAGCCTGCCAAAGGGGCGTCGCACCTGCAGCCGCGACGAAGACAAACGGCCTGGAAAAATCAGCATATTTAAATAATTCAGCGGCAGTTTTGCTATTATGGGAATCGGCCTGACAGAGCATAAGTTTCAGTCGAGACGAAACGCAATATAAAGATTGTGAAACATGGCTGGGCAATTTTTTCTTGTCGCGTGCGTTCAAAAGAACCAGATGGAGCAAATGCGCTGCCTATCGACTGTCCGCCGATTTTTCATCCCGAAATGGAAGTCGGGACAAAGATGAGGCACTGATGTTCCTTGTTGCGCTGGTGGGAACATCAATTCTGGCGCAATGAGGAGATATTTGCAAAAAACTGCGTGAGAAATTGGGCAACAGTGTAATAGAAATGGCGGCTGATTTTGCATCACTCTGTGTATATGTGTGTGTGTGCCACAGGCGACTAGATAAGGCCTGCCCATATATATCCGATAATTAGGTGATATATCGGTCGTGACAGAGGAGAGGCCCGACCTAACCCTTCTGATCTCCCTACGGTGTCATACCGTTGACATGAAATATTGCCGTGTAATTTGTCGTCTCCACGTTAGATTTATTAATTACTACGTGTTTGGGTAATGATACCCCGCTAGCGTTCAGGATTTGGAGATTTTCTGCGGGAAAACTCCATAATTTTCCCGTTTTGCTGATAATTGCACAGTCGGTTTTTTTATACCTACACAGGGCGCGTCACTCTCAAAGGATCCTCCTCCAGGACAGGACAGTGTCGTAGACTTCGGGATTTATCGCGATTTTTTTATGTTAACTTTTAGATCACCGAATAAAATAGAAAAGTGCCAACACGGTTTCAAAGCCCATTGATTTATGCGCAAAGATCCTCTTTTTCCTTGACACTTTTGGAAGGTTTATCTCCACAGATAAATTTTAAATTTAATTAATTAATCACAGAGAATAATAATTAAAATTTATCCAATTAACCTTTTTCACAACTGCTATAGTTTATCATGTCATCGACTGGTCATCGAAAAAAGTCACCCTGTATAACCCTTAAAGAGTGGAAATTACAAATAAATGTTTCCAGTCAAAAATTAAAAAGGGCCACTTTCTTCGGTAACAAAGTCCATAAAACCCTTTAAAGGTGTTTTCATAATTAAATCGTCAAACACTCACCAAAATCTTAAAAGCTCAAAAGTCCGGTTCTGTTGGCTAGTTGGTGCTGATGTTTAAGATGACAGCAAACGTCACAACAAAGAAAACTTAATTTTTCCGCAACCGGCACTTTTCCGGGTGGCAAAATGCGACAAAACTATACAAGGAAATTCGCCTTTTCAGAAAATCCACATCAAAAATGAAAAAATCCGCGCAAGTTTCGAATTTTAGCCGGCGCTGATTGCGCACAACCATTCAAATCCGCCATTAAAAAATTGACTAATGCCACTAAACGACAGGGGCGAATCAGGTTTATTTAAATTTACGTTACTATAAAATATAGAATGATGATATTTCTGTCTAGAATGATGTACAAATGAGCGTTTTTGCTCATTTTTCCTCCGAGATATGAGCAAAAACGGAAAACATGGAATTTTGGCATAATCTTGCACCTAAGTGTCTGATATTCAAATTTCGCTTTCTGGGTCAAAACTACTGGAATTTCCTC